TGGTTAGTAGTTAATAGCATATGTACCAATTTATGGGGCAATGAGTGGCTCAGTTGGTTAAGCATCCAACTGCTGGTTTTGGCTCAGTTCATGATCTCAGGGTTGTTGGATTGAGCCCCGTGCTGGGCTTAGTGCTGAGTCTGCTTGAGGTTCTCTTTCTTCCTCTCCTTCTGCCCTTTCTTCCCACCCACCCCTCCTAAAAAAAATAATGTTTAAAAAATAGTATTGTAGCAATGTCAGTGTCTTGGTTCTGATAATCATACTATGGTTATATAAAATGTTATCTTTGGGGTAGGATGGGTAAGGGTACATGGGAACTTCCTGTGTTATTTTTGAAACTTCTAGGCAAATTTTAAATTATTTCAAAATAAAGTTTTTTAAAAATCCAGGGGAGGAATCCTTGTGGACTGGCCATCTTAGAATCTTAGGCTCTAAAATATTTACTTAATGGCTAAAATTTAAAAGACTGACAATACCAAGTGTTGCAAGGATGTGGCACAATGGGAGCTCTCATTAATTGCTCGGGGCTATAATTGATAGAGTCACTTTGGAAAAATGGTTTGGTAATAACTACTAATGTTGAATGCATGTATATCACAGGAAGGAGCAATTCCATTCCTAGGTGTATCGCAATTTACATAGAAGTCAAAACCAGGTAAAATTAAAATACAGAATTAGAAATGGTTATCTAGGGGGATAGGGAGGGATTAATGGTTGTGATGGGACATGATAGGGGTTTCTAGGAGTTAACAATGTTCTATTTCTTGACCTGGGTGATGGTCACATGAGTATTCATTTTGTAATAATTAATTGAACTATATCTCTATTCTGTGCACTTTTCTCCTTGTCTGTTACACTTCAAAATGGAAAAAAAAAGTTAAAAAGAGAACAAGAAATGTAGACAGAGTCTAAATGATTTAAACATCCTTTCCGGGGCACCCAGGTGGCTCAGTCAGTTAAGCGTCTGCCTTCGGCTCAGGTCATGATCCCAGGGTTCTGGGATCGAGCCCCTCATAGGGCTCCCTGCTCAGCCGTGAGTCTGTTTCTCCCTCTTGCTTTCCCCCTCTGCCTGCTTGTTCTCTCAAATACATAAATAAAATCTTTTAAAAAAAATTAACATCCTTTCTAAGTTTATTAATACAAAAAATGGCCAAGTCATCAGGTCAGATGGAGCTACATTCTCCAACTCAAAGGTGGATGGGACACTGCAGGGTGGGGTGGGAGAGTTGACTTTTTGGATATAGGAAAAGTAAATTAAAGAAATTTTCACCTGATTTTTCTCTGCATGCCTTAAAGCTCAGTTAATCTGACTTGATGCCTATAGGTATTCCAGACAGCTAGTCTCCTGGGTATTCCAGGTTTCATTTGGTAACATTATTTGTAGCTAAATTATGTTTCTCTTCCCACCTGGCTGGCCCATCTTTCTAAATTTATCTCAACATCCTAATTTACCTATAAAAATAGCCTCTACTTTTTTATTATGGAAAATAATTTTATAAAATAAAGGAATAGTGAGCATTATACACAACCATTTGCCTCATTTCAAATTGTCTTTGGGTGTTTTTTTTAAGATTTTATTTATTTATTTTTTTTTTGAGAGAGAGCATGAGCCTGGGGGAGAGGGGGGAGGGAGGGCAGAGGGAAAGGGAGAGGGACAAGCAAATTCCCTGCCAAGCCAGCTAGATCCCAGGGTTCTGAGATTATGACCTGAGCCAAAGTCAGACGCTTAACTGTCTGAGCCACCCTCTTAGGGTGTTTATTGATGATATATATGATAAACAGTATCCATATACTTCTCCTTTTTACTTAACTTTATCTTTCTATACATATTTTTCACTTTGGCTAAGTTCACCTATAGTAGGTATCTACAAACTATTCCATCTCAATTATCTATGTTGAGCTTTTTTTGACTTAAGTGATTCTAATGTTTACAGGAAGCACAGTTCTTTTTTTTTTTAGATTTTTATTTTATTTATTTATTTATTTGAGAGAGAGAGAATGAGAGATAGAGAGCACGAGAGGGAAGAGGGTCAGAGGGAGAAGCAGACTCCCTGCCGAGCAGGGAGCCCGATGCGGGACTCGATCCCGGGACTCCAGGATCATGACCTGAGCCGAAGGCAGTCGCTTAACCAACTGAGCCACCCAGGCGCCCCGGAAGCACAGTTCTTCTGTGTCCATTTCTAATGGGTCGATATGGACCATTTGTTTCACTTCTGCTTCTTCATCAAAATTGCAATTCCCCTATTTTCACCAGCTGTGTCAAAACAGGGTTCATGAAGTGAATGTGTGGCCCTCCCAAGTAATTTTTTTAAAGGTTTTATTTTATTTAAATATTTATTTGACACACACACACACACACAGCATAAGCAGGGGAAGCAGCAGGCAGAGTGGGAGGGAGAAGCAGGCTTCCTGCTCTGCAGGGAGCCCAGTTCAGGGCTCTATCCCAGGACCCCAGGATCATGACCTGAGCCTGAGCCACCCAGGCGCCCCCTTCCCGAGTAATTTCTTACCAAGTTACTCACTGATCCTTTACACCTTTTTTCATCTTATGCTGTTCATCTGTGTAAGACCCATTTCATTCTGTCATTATATTTAACAATTATTTCATGGGTCAGCAGCTGAAAGGTAAAGATATGATAACCTGTGAACTCCAGCCTATGATTCACAGTGGAAAGCAAACTACATTCTATATTTCATTCTCTCTCCAGTACAAGCATCTACAGTCAAGGGTGGAGAGGAGAAAGAGGCAGGACTATCTGTTTTTCAAGAGATTTTAACTTCACTCTCCTCATCTGAATCTAGTCTCCCTTATCTAGATACAAAGGATTGCTGCCACCTGGCTTCTCTCCTTGCAGTACTCACATTATCTAGAGAATCCTTTTCTTGTGGCCCAACAGTCTTGCATGACCCAAACTGAGCCAACATTTTCAAAGTATGAATATGCAAAAATTTTATGGGAATGATGTTACTGAATGTGTTCTGCAGTCTGAACGGATAGTGTCAGATGATGGGGATCTTTCAAATTGTCTTCTGCAAAAAATTCCCTTATAAAAATATTTTTACAATATGTGGTGTTTTTTACATATTTAAAAAATATTTTTACAATATGTGGAACAAATTTTTACTTAATAAAAGATCTGTATATTCAACATCTTTGGTGCCTACTGTATGTATGCACGGTCATGTTATTGTCACCAACCGCAAGCCCACCAGAGGGCGCTCGTTCCCCGTCTATCCAGCCTTCAATCAGCGACTCAGAAAATCCAAATTAAACTTGACTTTCACACACAGGAAGTCTTTCATATTTAATCCACAAATATTTACCGAGAATTTACTGTGCTGCCAGGCGCAGGGCTAGGTGCACAAGATACAGTGAAAAGTTAGGCACGATTCCTAATACCAAATGCTTAGAGCATAGCAAAGACTGAAAGTAAACAGCCGGTACAATAAAGTGGGGTAAGTGAAGAGTTTCTAGGTCTGGGGAGTTTGTTGTTTAAATACTGGCTCCAAGTCTTAGAAGCCGGTAACAATTCATTATGAGATGCCCGACGGCTTCCGCCTGATATACTGGCAGTGATCTCCACCCTCAAGGCATTTTGTAATTCAGAGCCAGAGACATCCTTGAGTAGCTCCATTGGTCAGCTCCGCAATTTCATGTCCCTTCCTACCCCGCTCCCCCGTTTTGTTCAGGGCTTCCTGCAGTTCTCTTAGAGTTCACTTGTGCTCTAGGTCAACAATTCAGTTGGCCCCAATGCCAAGGACAAGTGATTACCCACAACTATCAGCAATCGCTGGCTCCACCCACTCTTTTTCCTGTTTGAAACCCGCGGGCCTTTCCTGCTTTGAATTCCTAGACTTCCTGTTCTGATTCTCGCGACAGTTGCGAGGTCTCGCGTGAAAGTTCGCTCCTTGTCCTTCTTGAGTTTTGGAGACCAGGGGGATTGTATATGTGCTTTCGCCCACCTCGTCAGAGTCCCTCTGGCCAGGAGTGACGTGCACGCGGCTAGGGGACCCCTAAATGAAAGGGCTTGGCCGAGTTCAGGTCCGGAGGGAGAGTTCTGGACCGCATCCGGGTGTTTTGACTCTCCAGCCCTCCAATACGCATGCGGGGCCGATCCCCCTGGGCGGTCTGGAGGCGGTCGCCAGCCCTTAACTTCGGGACTGGTCAGGAGGCCCAGGTCCAGGCCGCTAGGCCGGGGGCCCGGTCCTTCCAGGACGAGACTGACTAAATACCGTCACCTCCCCGGCTGCAAAGCTCAGTTTCCGCCCCCTGCAACCTGGACTGCAGCGCGGCTTCTGTAAGCCGCTTGGGGCAGGCTAGGGCGGGGCCTGGCAGACCCCCGGTAAGGCGGGCGGGCGGGCCTCCGGGAATGCTCTCCTCCCCGCCCCCAGCCCAAAGTGCCACGGTGGCGCTGGTGGCGGCCGCGAGACCCAGTGCCTCCGGCCCTGCCGGCCTTGCAAATGTAACCTGTAATCCCAACCCGGAGCGAGGTCGGCGGGGGAGGCGCCCCGCCCACCTCTCCCTGCGGCTGCTGGTCAGCTGGGACCTCTATAATCACTCGGCTCACCCGCTCACCCGCGGGCTGAAGCACCTGCCGGATGTGGGGAGGGAGAAGGCCAGTTGTGGGGTGGCAGATGTAAGCGCCAAGTCTCTGGTCAGCGCCTTGGTAGGGAAGCTGGGTGGACAAGTCTGCAATAGCCCCGGGGAAGTCGGCCCTGGGCTGCGGGGAGACTACGTTGGTTGGCCCTGCCCTCCAGGAGCAACCGGCTTGGCACCAGAGCTCCTACTGCCTCCCCATTATGCAGCTGCTCTGTCAGAGCCCAGGGACTGTAAAGTCCGATGGAACAAGACCTCGACCTTCACTCAACTCTTCCAGCTTCCCAGCCACCCCCATATCCCCTACTCCCAACCCCCACCCCACCCTGTCCCTTGTCTCCTGCCAGCATCGGTGCCCGGTTACGGCTTCTCACTTCTCACTTCTCACTGTGACTTTGGCCCAGCCAGGGGAAGTGGCCCAGGAGGGTCCCGTGTGGCTGCATAAAATTGGCAACTTCAGAACTGGAGGGAGGGGGTTGTGTGCGACGTCGAGAGGCGGGGAGAGGGGTGGAGGAGTTGCTCTCTGCGTCCAAGTCCCTGGGCTCTCTCAGAGATCCTCAAGCTGGAGCAGAGGTGGCTGGCAGGCCCAGCCGATTGTTGGCCTCTGTTCTCTTTCCACCGCCTGCTTCTTCTGACCGGAGACACAGCTGCTCTGAAGGGCTTAGTCCTGACACTAGGTGAGCACTCTGGGCCCCAGGGCATTACTTCTTCCCCATTCCCATCCTTGTTAACAACTCCTTAGTTCTGGGGCCATCAATTCTCATCCACCTCTAGGGCAGGAAGCTTCAGAGTTGGATGGTTTGTGGTGCTGCCGCTCGTTGGGGTGTGTGTGTGTGTGTGTGTGTGTGTGTGTGTGCGCGCGCGCGCTGGCGCTTGAGCTTTATTACCCTTTCTTCTCATCTCTCCCCCACCCCAGAAACACAGTCCAGTCAATAACTGGATGACTCCTAGAGTCACCATGCCTCTGTGTTGAGGGTCTCCTTGACTCCAAGGCAGCAGGGGAGGGGGCAGTGCTCAGGTCAGTCTTTGGTACGAGGAACAGTGAGGTTGCTTCTGACCTCCTGTCCTGGCTTCCCTCCCCGGCAGGGTGACACGATCGCGCTGATGCCCGGAGTGCCCGCAGGGCTTCCAGCTAACCATGCCACAGCCGCCCGCCGCTGCCCTGGCGCTGCCCTCGCTACTGCTGCTGCTGCTGGTGCGGACGCCGCCCCTGACAGGCGCGCCGCGGTCCCCAGGCCCCGATTACCTGCGGCGCGGCTGGCTGCGGCTGCTGGCGGAGGGCGAGGGCTGCGCTCCCTGCCGCCCAGAAGAGTGCGCGGAGCCGCGGGGCTGCCTGGCCGGCCGGGTGCGCGACGCGTGCGGCTGCTGTTGGGAGTGCGCCAACCTCGAGGGCCAGCTCTGCGACCTGGACCCCAGCGCCCACTTCTACGGGCGCTGCGGCGAGCAGCTTGAGTGCCGGTTGGACGCGGGCGGCGACCTGAGCCGCGGAGAGGTGCCGGAGCCTCTGTGTGCCTGCCGCTCGCAGCGCCCGCTCTGCGGATCGGACGGCCGGACCTACGCGCAGATCTGCCGGCTGCAGGAGGCTGCCCGCGCTCGGCCCGACGCCAACCTCACGGTGGCGCACCCGGGGCCCTGCGAATCAGGTACGCACGGCCCGGGGGCCCTACCTCCGGCACTTGGGGCACTCGAGGCACACGAGGCATTGCTCCCCGACCTCCGACTGGATTGGTCTCTGGCCGGCGGAGCGAAAAAGATGAGGCCGGGGAGTCCTCGCGTCCAGTATAAGAGCCGGCTCTTGCTGCTGGTCCGCAGAGACCACCGCAGCAAGGTGCGGGTCTGAGCTCTGTCGGCAAGCTGTGTGCCCCGAGGCGCGTGAAAGCCCCAGACCCGGCTGGCAGGGACCAACCCTCTGAGGGAGCAGGCACAGAGCCAATGATTGGTCTCAAAACTGAGAGAGCGAAGAGATTCCCAGACTTTGCCCAGACCGCTGGAGCGCGGACAACGAGACTTGGCTTCCAGAGAGATGCAATCGGGTTTCCCTTGGGCGGATTGGGATTCGATTCGTAGAGCAAGCGGTTAGCCCAGTCTCCCCACTTCCCTTCTGTTTCTTCCGTGCCTCAGGATTCGTGAAGGAGGGGGCTCTACCAGCCCCTCCCTCCCATCCCAGGGGGCTGAGGGCCATTCAGGCCTCAGGTTTCCTTTGGCAGCGTTAGTCACTTTCACTTCCTGAGCCCCTTTGAGGGATTTGGCCTGGTTGGGGCTGCCAGGAAAACAAACACCGGCGGGGTCCCAACACTCTACCCCACAACTGCCGGCTTTCTGCCCGCTGCCCAGATCTGGTTTCAGGTTCTCTGCCTTTCCCACGTGGGAATCGCGCCTCCCCGCCCCGCTTCTCTGGGGCGTGGGGGAGGGCTGCTCTTCAGGTCCTTGGCAACTGGACCTGGTTAGGAAGGGGGTAGGCTAGGGGGAGGTATTGGTTACAAGTATAACAGGCTAGGGGCCTAGAGGGTGGAATGAGGACAGGGGAGCTATGAGGGCTGGAGTGTGGCTGCCAAGCTGTGGCATCCTGCCTGCATGTACCTCTCCATTTCTGAGTTTGTGCCTGTGTGTACCTGTACCTACATTTATATGTACCCGTGTGTCCCTGTCAAGTCACGTGTATGGATGTGCATATACCTCCACGTTGATTGTGTTTCCCCACAAACACATCCATGATGGTTCATATATGGGCTGCTTGTGGGGCTGGATGTACCACCCCGTTCTCAGTCCTCCCATCTCCATCCCCAGAGCCCCAGATCGTGTTGCACCCATATGACATTTGGAACGTGACGGGGCAGGACGTGGTCTTTGGCTGTGAGGTGTTTGCCTACCCCATGGCATCCATCGAGTGGAGGAAGGACGGCTTGGACATTCAGCTACCAGGGGATGATCCCCACATCTCGGTGCAGGTAGGAGAGAGGAGAGACCTCCTTTGGGCAGCCCAGGGTCCCCCTAGAAGGACCCTGCTGACCCCTCCTCTGGCTCCAGTTCAGGGGTGGACCCCAGAGGTTTGAGGTGACAGGCTGGCTGCAGATCCAGGCTGTGCGTCCCAGTGATGAAGGTATCTACCGCTGCCTGGCCCGCAATGCTCTGGGACAGGTTGAGGCCCCAGCTAGCCTGACAGTGCTCACACCAGGTAAGGGCGAACCCTGGGCTCTGGGGGCCTGAGGGGCGGGGAGACTGGTGGTGGAGTGAGGCCCTTGAATGTGTGTCCATGTGCGTATGTGCATGTGGGTGCACAGGCAAGTATGGCTTTCTCCCAGCCTAGGGGGACTGACAGCCCCTCTTTCCTTTTCTCTCCTTTACCCACATGTGTTTGCAGACCAGCTGAACTCCACAGGCATCCCCCAGCTGCCATCCCTGCATCTGGTTCCTGAGGAGGAGGCTGAGAGTGAAGAGGGCGAGGATTACTACTAGGTCTGCCGCCCTGGCCTATGGGGGTGGGTGAGGGGGATAGTAGTCATCCCTGCTCTTGAAAAGACATAAAAGGGGGAGCAGGGCCCTTTCATTGCTTTAATGCCCTTAATAGGGGAGACATGGTGGTGGTAAGTAGGGAGACAAAAGTTGGTAGAGGGTAAGGAGAGAGGCAGACACTAGGGGAAGTGGGAAGCAAAGGGGCCCATGGAGGAGATGCTGTGGCTGGGACAGTCTCCAGCGTGGAGCAACCAGGCAGAAGACAGCAGCTGCCTGCTGGTCCCTAGGCTGGGTGGGAGTATGCGGGGGGCCGGGGGGGGGTTCAGAGCAGACACAAAGAGGCAGCCGGGATCCTCCACTTTCCTGCCAGTCTTCCCTCCAGCTCTGCTCAGTCAGTCTTCTGATCTACCCTTTGCCACGCATGCTGTGATTTTTCTAGTCCCTCACCTTTGCCTAGCCTCAGTTTACCCTCTCTCGAAGCTCACCTTCTAGAAATTTCTCCCCTCACCTAAGTTCCACTTGTACTTACTAACCGCAGTCCTCTTTGCTGTTGGCCATTTGTTGTCTGGAAAAACATAATGGAGCATGGTTTAGGCCAGTGCAGTAAGATGGGCATTTGATCATGTCTAACTTCTGTCCTTCTGAAAAATTTGAGGCCAGGACTGTTTCTTATATTGGACAGTGCCTAGCACAGGACTAGGCACAGTTGGTACGCAATAAAGATTTCTGAACAAACAGAAACAGATGCACAGGTGGTTTATGCAGGTGTGCACATGAAGACCACATTTCCCTGGGAGGCTTTCCATGGTAGTAGGGCACTGGTTTCCAGAAGCTGTAGGTCCTGCTCCCTAAGCACATGCCTGCCAGATGTACAGAGAGGAAGCTTGAGCTGGGGCGTACCCTGCCCTCTAGGGAGGAAGTCTGAAGCCATCTGGTTGGAGGGAGGGTATTCTCCCGGTCTGCACTCCATTTGGGCTGGACTAGAGTTAGATTGCCTGCCCCCGCAGGTGGGGAACCAGGTCGGTGTGGGTAGGGCCCCAGTGTAAAAGTACAAACTGGATGAAGGAGGGGAGAAGTTTGGCCACGAGTATGGGCTGCACCCTAGGATTCCCCTAGGAATCCACCCATTTTCTTGCTGAACCCAGACAAAGTCAGGTAAGCCTGTTTCCTTATCTGCCAACTGTGAGCTGTCCTATCTGGCTGGGGGTCACTGACGGAGCCGCAGTTCCTGGCTCCCCACATCTCTCTCCACGCTCGCTGTACCTAGCCTACTAGGTGAAGCCCAGTGTTTATTGACTGAGTGAAGCAGAAAATGAAAACTTAAGTTCGGGAGGCCAAGATCTTGTGTGTGGATGGCGACAGTCTCCTACGCGCCCGGCCCCGCCCAGAGTCTGGCGCCACCACAGGAGAGATTGTAGTTGGCTCAGTTGTCTGAGCTTGTCCTCTGGGGCCCAAGGCAGGGAGCCCGGGCTCTTGGGAGGGGCGTGGTCCGGAATCCCCACCCGACCGCTTGGCCGCCCCTCCCGCGGGACCGTAGGGCTCCTCCATAGGCTAAGCCAGAGGACAGCTCTCACTGACTAGTCCTGTCTAGAGCCCGGCGGCCCCAAGACCTGCGCTCGGCAGCTCAAGCGAGTTCGATACTTGGGGTGAATTCCAAGACGACCGCGGAAGCGGAGTAGGGATGTGAGCGGTGTGCCAGGGATGGCGGGGTGTGTGTGGGGGGGTCGTGTTTTTGGCTTCCGGACCAGAAGGCGGTCTACTTCGCACTGAAAGAGGGGACGTGGTATGGGTTGTTCGACCCTGGCTAGTTCTTCGCCGGGGACTCCCGCCCAGCTGTGCTCGAAGGCGCCCCCTGACGGGTCTATCGATACTACCGTGCCCACCTGCAGCATAGAGGCTCCACCCGAACCAAGAGGGTCACACGCACCCCCGGGAGTCCGTACTCCTTGATCGCTTTTGTAGACTTTGTAGAGTATTCGAGTGCCGGCTCCCTACAGCCTCAGTTTCCCCCTCCTGGCCCTGCTGGTTCCGGCCCCGCAGCCTGGAATAGAAGGAATCCCCGCTGCTTCACAACCCGCCCCCTCCCCGCCTCTGCTCTGCGGACGGGCTTTAATAACGTCGCTGGAAAGTGACACGCGATTTATTATTAAAGTAATGCGGGGACGGGAAAGGTTTAATAAACGCGCTGCGATGCCGAGGATTATTCACCGCAAATAAATGAGAGCGCGGGCGGCGTTTTAATAAATAATTTCCCGCTTGCTCCCGGGGGAAGAGAGGGGAAGGGGTGGAGAAGCTGAGCCGCTACCAGAACTCCCGGCCTCGCCTCCCCACGGGTTTTCAAGCCTTCCCTGCGTCTTTCCTTCGAGGCTGCTCACACCCGAAATGTGAGGTTCCAGGAGCGCTGACTCGGAGTGGCCTAGGCAGGGAGGCGGGAGGACCTCTGTCCCATCCCCCTTCCCCCAGCTCCGGGATTTTAAGTGGTTTGCTTAAGATGAGCGAATGCCCTTCCGACTCCGAACCAGAGATTGGGAGTCTACACTGTACTGGTGCAGAAGGGGTTAACAGGGACCAGCCCCTCCCTAGCCGAGGGTACTAGGTCCCAGGGTCCGGCCATTCCCTCCACTTTTGGCTGACCCCAGCTGGCCGTCCAGGGCAGGATGTCGGGAGTACACCGGGGTTGGGGGGCTGTGTGTACAGGTGTGTACGAATGACCCTGACTCCCGTTGTGGGGAATCAGACTGCTTATTACTAGCAAGGCTCCTAGTAAAGGTCCTTGAGCCGCGCTGTTCTGAATCGAGAGAGTCCGAGTGAAGCCCAGCTCTTGGCTCACTGATAAACACGGGTGTATTTGAGGGCTGAGCAGAACTGGGGCCGGGAGGGGGAGTGCTCCCCTCCAACAGAAGCCTGGAGGCCCGAGAGGATGAGCCCGATTTGGGAGGGGGCCGAGATTGCAGATTTTGGGAACCAAGGACACGCCCACCGCCCTGCTGGGTACGGGAATGAGAGGGAAGCTCCTGGGGTACACCGGCTCCCCAAGTTTTGTGCCTCGGCCGAAAGGGGCGACAGCTCTGGCGACACCCCCGGCAAAGCTTGGGAATACGGGAAGTGGCAAAAGAGTGCCATCTGGCGGATGTTTCTGGTTGTGGCAGCCAGGCCTGGGACAGGGGTTCTTAAGACAGTTAAATTGGAAAAATTTGAGTAAAAAGATACTTCCGTTTGTATTCATTTATGTATGTGAATGTGCACATGCATGTGCAGTATATATGTGATATCTGGGTGTGACATATGTAATATCAATAATATGTTCATAGTAGTTATGTGCATGTGCTTATCTGCATTGTATATGAGATGTATATACATGTATGCACATATATAGCAATGTGTGTTATACATGTGGACTATCTAAAAGCATATGTGTGTGTGGGGGTAACCATGTAGATACACATAGGCACATAAGCACTGTATAGATGATGCATAGTTGTATGTATATGTTTACTTGCAAGTATGTGTTCCATTATGTGCCCTTCTTTCAACAAATGTTTGTCATGTGCCAACATTGTTGTAGGGACTGGAGATACATCACAGAAAAACACATTTGTCCCTGACCTTACAGAGCTTACATTCTGTTGTAACGTGTGTGACATGTACATATACTTTGTGTGTGTGTGTACAGGGTTAGGTGCACATGTATGTGTAACTCTTTCTACACATGTGAGGGGCAGACGAGCTTAAACACTCCTCTGGTGGACTTGGAGATTCCTTGAGCTCTTTTTTGCTCAAAAGTTCAGGTCCCGTCACCACTTAGGACTCTATTCTAAGCGTGCAGGCGTCCTAAGGCAGAGAGAAAGAGGCTGCAGACGTAGGCTGATTACCTTCTGGGATATGTTTTGGTCACTTCTTCAGCCCTCTAAATGACTAGATTCTTTCTAAACGGGTGAACAGCTATGGAAATCCACAGGGTAATGAGATGTTAATGATATTACTCTCACATCTTAATGCAAAGCATCTTGGGAGGGAAGGATGATGGTTGGGATGAGTGGGAATGGGGTCTGGGAAGCTGGGGGTAGGAACGAGTTCTCTGAGGGCAGTTCTCTGGTGTAGAGATTAGGAGGGATCTGGTCTGGAAGGTAGTGGTGGGAGCTCTGGGAGTCAGTTGTGGATAATGGAGGGTGGTTTGAGGACTCTGGGAGGGATGGGCTGGTAGAGAGGGAGGGGGCTCAGGGGGAGGAATGAGGTCAGCATCAGGGATGGTACAGAGATAGAGGCTCTGGTGGCAGTCTCGGGATAGAACCTGGAGGCCACCTCAGATGGAGTCATCCCTGCCTTTCTCTCCACCCTCCCTTCTCCACGCTGGGGTCCCTGTGTTCTTTCATCTTCTCTCTGCTCAGGCTGGGTCCCAGACATGCTGGTGGCAGAGGAGAACAGTGTAGGCTCCAGGGCTTGGCCTGGCTTAGGTGACTCACTGGTAGGCTAGGCGAGGTGAGGCCTGGCTCCCAACACCACTGTACCATGAAGCCTCATCCCAGCCACCTGGGCCACTGCCCGCCCCATTGCCATTACCAGCTTTCAGTTTGGGCTCAGCTCAGGGGGTTCAAATAAGGGTGAGACCTGGAAAAGGTCACAGACTCCCCCTCCCCACATACACCCACACATTCCTGGGACTGAATTAGGAAAGGTGCTTCTGAATGATTTCTTCCTTCCTTCCCTCCTTTGCTAGATGTTTTCCAGATGCAGTTCAAGACCAGAAGTCTTCAGGTACCATCCTCAGCCTTGGTCTGTGGCGACACCTCATTCCTGACTAGTTCACCCTAAAACCAGGGTTTCTGTCCCTTCATTGCCTCTCTTTCCTTCTTGCAGTCTCTCTTTTCTTCCCAGGGCTGAAGACTTAGACCCCCGGGCTGTGTCTCCGCTGGTCAGAGGAGTGGAGGAGGGGCTGAAGACATAGGTTGGCTCTTGGCCTGGATGTTTTGTTTGTTTGTTTTGTTTCTTGACATTTTCTCTGCCTTGTGAGTGACTGAAGGCTCTCCAAACAGGGCGAACAGTTAGGAATGCCAGTTTTTGTGACAAATGCTACTCCACAATCAAATCTCACCTTGTCCCCTTGGTGGGTAGCAACTTGGGAAGGACCACGGGCTTGAGGGTGCTGAAGTGGGGTCTGGAGGTCCCTGGGAGAAAAGGCAGAATCTTTGTGAGAAGAGACGGGGTCTCCCAGGATGAGAGTTGAGGACCTAGGGACAAATACTTCCTACCTCCCACCCCCACTTCCATCCCAGATCACTGAAGCAGGACTGAAGAAAGCCCCACAGGCCTCCTGGACTCAGCTAGCCCTGCAGGGACCCAGTTTCTAAGTCTGGCTCCCCCACTCCCCCTGCCCCTCCCCCACAGTGTGAACTGGTGTCGGAAGGGTTTAAGTTCTGGGGGTAGTGGGGGAGGGTCTCAGGAGCAGTGGTCTCTGAAGGCCAATGATAGGTCTTTGGGGGCAGAACTAGGGTTCGGAGGTCAAGGACAGCCTGGCCAGGGCACGTTAGGTTTTGCAGTACAGGTTTGAATGTCAGTTCTACGGCTTTCTAAGTGCATACCCTGGGTGATTTTCTTGGCTTCCCTTCTTCTGTGTCCTCCTCTGAAAAATAATATAAAACTTCCTCTGTAGGGGTTGTGATGACAGTAGAGATCTTTTAAGCAATGTATCTGGAACACAAAAGGTATTCAATAAATGGTCATTTTACTACTGCTGTTT